GGCTGGCAAGGGCGCTAGACCCTAAAGCCCTGCATACCAGCCTGGACTAAGCACTTCACATAAATTACTTCATTTACTCTCCCCCTAGATTTACTTACTGTGATTTAATACAGTAAGACGCCCATTTTCCAGAAGAGGAAAGCAGGCCTCAGGCCGATTAGTTACTTGAGTCACTTGCCCAAAGACACACAGTCCTTAAGTGGGGGGTGCCGGAGCCAAGCCCACGCTCTGACCACTAGACTACGCTTCCCTCCGCCCCGCATGCAACGAGGAGTCTGAGGTTCACACGGGCGGGTGGAGTCGGATATGCGTCTAACAACCATCACTGGTTGCAGCAAGGAGGATAACGGTGGCGGCCAGGACAGAGGGAGAAGGCTGCAGAGCGGGCGCTCTGGGCTCCCCGCAGACCCAGCACTGCCCGTGCGCCCGGGAGCTATTTACCGCCGAGTCCCCGGTGCTCGTCTGCAGCGGGGAGGCGCCCCGCCTCGCAGGGCGACCTTAAGTCGGGCAGACACAGGTGCGAAATGCTTGGCGAGCGGACGCTCCAGAAAAGCTGCTTCCCAACACCCCCGCCCCATCTCTCCCCCTGCTCCCCGGGAAGGAGGGCAGGGGAGCCCCAGAATCTGCAGGCGCTGGCCACAGGCAGCGGACGGCCCGAGCCCCGGCTGGCCCCTTCTCCCTCCCACACCCCACTTACTTCTTCTCGCCTTCGAACAACAAGAACGACTCGAAGGCAGGAGGGGCGTTCATCCTAGCGCCGCAGCCGCCTCCAAAGCCTCCGCGGCCCCACCACAGCCTCCAGGGCACTTGAACGCAACCACTTCCGGGTTAGTGGCTGCTCCCTCTTCCGGCGCTGGCCGATGGTGCCAAGCCCGCGTGAAGATTGGCTCATTGCCCCCTATCGGAGTGGAGGACCTCGCGCAGGCGCTAGAACCCAAGAGGGGGACGGAGGGAGGTTGGTGGCTCTGCGCCCGCGGGGGTTCGCTTCGTCGCAGTTCGGAGAGCGGGGAGCTACTCTGCGTATTGCGATGTCCTTGTCTAGGCTAAGAGGCAACCCTGACCTCTCTTTGCTCCTCACACCCCTTGATCCATCTTTGGAAATGTGCCCTTGGAGTACACAGCAAGAGGCCCCTGGATGAATGGAGCTCTGGGTTATGGGTGGGTGTGGCCGGAGGGGGCGCAGTAGCCTCAGGGGCTCGTGAGCGTCCATTCCTTGAAACTGACGGCTATGTATGGGTAAGCCCCCTGCCAAAGCTGCCTGGGCAGATTGCTCCAAGACCCTTGGCTATGTTGTAACTGGTTTGCCAAGTGGCCTTGTGACCTACTGAGCTTCTTGTTAGGTACGTATATACCTGGTAGGTGTGAGAGAGGCTCTGGGAGGGATACGTGCATCTGTCCCTGTTTTGATTGGTTGATATTCTGCAGACTACAGCTTAGTATAAAGGCCTACCTGAGCTGTTTGAAGCAACCGGGACTGGAGTCTCAGGTTAGCTACCAGAGCCCTAACAGCTTCCCAGCTGTTTCTCTAGGTCTGGGCAGCAGCCAAGAAGTCCCAAAGGAAATCTGAGCTTCCACGGCCATTTGTTGTGAAGGGTCATTTCCTACTTGAGCCTTGGGCCCTGGGGCAAGGCCCCCACCAACACCTGGATTCTCCAGCTCAAGCTGGTGGGCACCTCTTTACCTGCTGAGGAATAGAAAGCAATTAAGGTAATGATGCCCTGAGGTTGAAACCCTCTCTTTGGAGGCATCCTGGCAAAGTTTGGGCCAAGGATGCTACCTTTGCCAGGGTTGCAGGGGCCTGGATGTGTCAAGACTGGCTGCCCTTGCCCTAGCCGGTTTGGCTCAGTAAATAGAGCGTCGGCCTGCGGACTGAAGGATCCCGGGTTCGATTCTGGTCAAGGGCATGTACTTTGGTTGCGGGCACATCCCCAGTAGCGGGTGTGCAGGAGGCAGCTGATCGATGTTTCTCTCTCATCAATGTTTCTAACTCTCTATCCCTCTTCCTTCCTCTCTGTAAAAAATCAATAAAACATATTTTTAAAAAAATGACTGGCTGCCCTTAACTGAGCGAGGGTCGGGGGAGGAGTGTCACCCAGCAGGGGCTTCACCCTCCTTGCCACTGTGGAAGTACTAGTATGTCCTCTCTTGGGGAGTTCTGCTCACACTTGACCTTTGATTCCCAAATCAACACGAGATCCTGGGCTCCAGAAGCTGTCAGCCCCCAGAGTCTTCAGAGGCTCAATGCTGGTGTGACCCAAGAGGAGGCCAAGTGACCATCCCCATCTTCTGATAAGATAGGCCTGCCTGGTACAATTGTGAAAGAGGCTGCTGGGACAAGGGGTGTTTTTTTTTTTTTTTTTATATATTTTATTGATTTTTTTACAGAGAGGAAGGGAGAGAGATAGAGAGTTAGAAACATCGATGAGAGAGAAACATTGATCAGCTGCCTCCTGCACACCCGCCACTGGGGATGTGCCCGCAACCAAGGCACATGCCCTTGGCCGGAATCGAACCTGGGACCCTTCAGTCCGCAGGCCGACGCTCTATCCACTGAGCCAAACCGGCCACGGCGACAAGGGGTGTTAAGAAACATTATCCAACCTCAGAAATAGGCGAAGGGGGCGTGTTTTGTCAGGGTCATACTGAAGCATTATTGAACAGGCCTGACCAAGGGTTAATATCTAGGGCAGAGAACCTGTGAAGGCTTGCAGACCAAATCAAGCCTGTCACCTGTTTTTGTAAGTAAAGTTTTATTGGACTAAGCTAAGCCCATTTGTTTACTCATTGTCTGTGGCTACTTTTGTGCTCTGAGAGTAATTGCGACCAAAACTTGCACGCCTGGGTCTTTTCAGAAAGTTGGCCAATCCCTAATCTTGGAGAATGGACTTGGGTTTGACTTTGATATTATTCTGTTAGGACCCAGACACTGAAGTTATTTATGAACTTATATGTTTCTAGCCCACAGAGAACATCACGATTTTATTCTAGCATTCTTTTCTCAGAATGCTTACTAATATGTACCTAGCTTCTCAAAATGCTCTATGAGCCAGCTCTGCCGAACACTCATTTCCTCATGTAATAAATCTTTGATACATGTTCGTGCTGTATTTGTGTGAGTCATTTTTTAAATATACGTGAAAACTATACTTTGACAGGAATTTCCAAAAGGAAGTTGGTGAGAATTTGCCCAGATTTCCTACGGGACAGGCCCAGGGGATGAAAAGATGCATGTTCTGTGTTTGCTGGACCCACTCAGGGCTTCCCAGGGTGCCTGCCCTGTGCTGACTGCCAGCTCCCTGTCTCCTCAAGACATCTGGGGGACCTGCCCCAGGCTCTGGGCAAATAACAGGCCTGGCGATCCTGATGGGGTGTGGTGTTGGTGTAGAATCCCTGGGCAGGGGAAAGTGTGACCGCTGGCATTTTCCTGTGTCATGGGCCGACAGGAGTCTCTTCTGTGCCTCTCCTTTTACCCGAGTGGCTTCAAAAAAGACCATGGTACTGTAGGCAGCTCTGCTCAGAGCTGAGAGGAGACCCTAGGGGTGGGGGTACATGAACGGTGGGGACAGTGCCAGGCATTTATTCATTTTAACTCCCCTTCTGGCTGTGGTGGCCATGTCCATACCAGGATCCACTAAAGGAGAGGGTGGTGGGTGTTGCCAGGAGCTGGCTGTATGTGTGCATTTAAAATCCAGAAATCTGCCCTGACCGGTTTGGCTCAGTGGATGAAGCGTCGGCCTGTGGACTGCGGGGTCCCAGGTTCGATTCAGGTCAGGGGCATGTGCCTTGGTTGCAGGCACATCCCCAGTGGGGGGTGTGCAGGAGTCAGCTGATCGATGTTTATCTCTCTCATCGATGTTTCTGGCTCTCTATCTCTCTCCCTCCCTTCCTCTCTGTGAAATATCAGTAGAATATATTTAAAAAAATAAAATAAAATCCAGAATTCTACTTGTTGCAGCCCCAACCAGTGCACACCTCTCCCCTTCATTCCCTGCCCTAGGGCTTAGGAGACCCTGGGGTCCGTATTTCCTGACCATGAGGTCCTTGAAACCAAAGAAGATCCAACAGGCATGAGGATTTGTGTGAGGCACTAAGGAAGTAGCCAGAGAACCAGGTGTTCATGGTGGGGTAGAGACAGAGCAAGCTCAGCCACCCCTGGACCCAAGCCTTGGGCCGGGAAGGGAGAAGGGTCACCCAGCCCTGCAAAGAGGCTCACGAGGTCCATAGACGGTAGCATCGCAACCAAGAGGCAATGAACATGCAAGGGGGTGGGTTGGTGGGCTTCTTGGAGGGTCCACTGTCCCCGTCAAGGCTGAGGCCAGGAGAAAAGGTCAAGATGGCCTCAAAAGCCATGGGGCAGAGGGAAGGAGGCAGCCTCTGTCCCTTCATGTCCCCTTTGCTTCCTCTACCCGCCCTCAAAGATCCCAGTATGCAGCCTGCCCGATGGCCTGTCCCAGGACCTGCTGGTCACTGCGGACTGCCCCAGCCTAGGACCCACAGGCAAGGCTCTGAGCTTGGTTGGATGAGAGTTTTAGAGAACCTATTGGAAGCTCCTGCCCCTTCCCCATCTGTTAATTATGTTGGAGGTTACTGTGGACCTAGAGCTGGGTCGGGAGGAGGGCAGGGAGGTGATGACCAGAGGGAGCCTTGCTTTGAAGGAAGGGTTGGCTGGAGGAACGCTGGCAGGGCCAGGCCACGGGAGTCGGCATTATGAGTCTTCAGGACACTTGGAGCCTGTCGGGGCTGCAGGGAGAGCACAGGGGGCGAGCCAGGGCAGGCTATGTGGCGTGTGGGGGATGGAGGAGTGGAACCCAGGGGCAGGTGGGGATAGCAGCTGGGAGGACAACGGAGCCCCCCTGGGAGGGAGGGAAGCAAGGAAGAAGGGATGGGGCTGCAGAGGCTATGGGGGCTCCAGTCCTTGGCCACCTCCCCCACCTCCCCGAGCAGCTGTTTGGGTCCCGAGGCCCACTCCTTCCTCTGGCCCCCACATGAGACCCCAGAGCCACAGTCACAGCAGGTTTATTGTTGGCGACAGAGCACTGCGATGCTCTCCCGGGGGCGCGGCCAGCGGCTGTGAGGCGAGCAGGTGGCGTGGTGGACAAGAGCCAAGTGGGCGCTGAGGTCAAGGCCTGCTCTCCTGGGCTCCGTGTTCCCGCCCACCTCTCTGCGTAAGGAAGTGCCAGTCCCCTGGGGTGTGGACCATCTTAGGAGTGGTTTCTGGCTGGGTCTGCCCTGGGCAGGAGTGGAAGGTCCTTGGAGAGTCTGGGCTAGTGGCGGTGAGAGCTGCAGGGGCTGCAGGGAGCAGCCAGGCCTCTCGGAGGAGCAGGAGCCCCGGGCTCCCCTAGAGACTTCATGTGGGTGATGATGGGCCAAAGCCGTCAGCTTTGGACTCCTGGTTCCCCTGGTCCCTGGTTACCAAACTCACCCAGCCCAGGAGAGACCCAGGCCCTGCTCCCCAAGGAGAGGGACTGGGGTGAAGGGCTGAGAATGCACCAGGGGTGCTTGGTGAGGGAGTGCAGGCCAGGCCTCACGTCTGCAGCTCCAGGAGGCAGTTGGGCTCTGAGGCCGGGGAGCTGGCGGGGCTGCAGCTGTGCGCCTCCCGGAGGTCCTGCAGCACCTGCAGCAGCTGGGCCAGCCGGTCCTCTGGTGCTGAAACAGGTGCAGTTTGAGGGCAGAGCAGGCTGGGCCTCGCCTCCCAGTGCTTGTCCCGAAGGTCAGAGGGCCCCTGGAAGTGGGCCTCAGGAGCCTCACCTGCAGCATCCCTGAACGGGGCTCAAACCACCGAGAGAGTCCAGATGGAAAGGACCTACCTTCACCCGGGCCTGTGAGCGTGGGGCCTGCCCCGGTGCCTGCACTCAGCTGCTGGTGCTTCTCCCTGGGGGAGGACAGAGAGGGCTCTGTTGCCCTTGCTGGGAAGGCTGGGTGACCCAGGGTGGGCCTCCCGAGCCGCAGGGGCTGACTCTTTCCATCTCTCGGGAAGAAACCTGGGCCCAGGTCTTGGCCCCTGGTCACCTCCTGCCTTCCCTCTTCCAGCCTCCTCCTCTGGTCCCCCCCCTCCCCACTGGCCTCAGCAGAAGGCACTTGGGAAACCAAGTTCGACCACGGCGCTCCTGTTTTGGAGGGCCCTTGGGAAAAGAGCCCGCTGGGGCCTGAAATTCCTGCAGTATTAACTGGCCATGGAACGGGCTAACTGGCCTGGAGACAGTGACATTTTAAGCACGTTCCTAACTGGTTGTCCCCAGTCCGGTCAGGTCTGATCCTCTGTGCGCCTACGTGGAGGGAGGGCGAGCGGCCGCATGGACCCCCTACTTGGAAGTTCCTTATTTGGGAACCCCTGGCTCAGCCCTAGGACGGTCTCCCCGGTCTATTTTGGGAGAGATGTTTCCCTCGGCCAAGGTCTAACAGGCTCTGCCTCCTCCGCAGACACCTGCTCTCCTGCTTCTCTCGGGGCAGTCTCCTTGGCCTTGTCCCACGCGGCCCCCACTGCCCAGAATACCGTTCCCTGCTTCCCTCTCTACGAGATCCTGCAAGCCTCACAGACCAGCTCAACCGTCACTCCCTCGCTCCGCCTCTCATGTTCTTACTCAAATTTATGGCGGGGCTGAAACGTGAAAGGCACTGTTCTCAGTACTGGCATTAGAGCAGCGAATGCCACAGGCCTGCCCTCAGCAAGCTCAGTGTAACTGAGACAGGCAAGACACGAGTAAACAACACATACGGATGAGCTTCATAAGGTTCTAGAGTAACAGTGGTCAGGGAAGGCAACTCCGACAGGTGGCCTTTGAGCAGAGGCCGGATCAGGTGAAGGAATAAGCCATGTGAATACCTGGGGAAGAGCCTTTCAGGCAAAGGACACAGCAAGTGCAGAGGCCCACTTGGTTTGTATGTTTAGACATAAAGTGAAATTCAAGTGGAGCCTAGACAATGATGATGATGATGAGGAGGAGGAGGAGGATGAGGAGGCGGGATGAGAGGTTGTAGGGTATAGTCACAGGAGTGAGGGTCCAGGTGGGTGAAAGAGTTAGGTCTCTGGAGTGTGGAGCTCAGGAACAGAGCGACAGGGTGGTGGCTGCGTCCTCTGGGTGGAGGATGAAGCCAGATCAGGGGAGGAGAGAAAGCCGGGTCAGAAAGGAGGTGGCTGCTGAGTGACCTGGAGGCCACTGGGGACTGCAGTTCACAGGGAAGTGAGTGGGTCTAGTCTGACAGCATGGGCTTGAAGGACTTTGAAGAGGTAAATCCTGGAAGATAGAGGAGGAACATGGACAGCCACCCCCTCCAGGCCCAGGTGTGGGAGTGCAGGGGACAGACCTGCCCAGGGAAGCAGTGACACCAGGAAGCACTGCACCTCTTTGAAACACCTCCATGCTGGACCCCCAGAGATTCTGAGTCATGGCGTAGGGCCAGGGCATCCTGTTTTCAAGTTGTTTTTGAAAAGCATCCTGTTTTTTTTCTCCACTGAAGCCAGGGTGGAGAACCACTGAATTAACTGAGATGGCCATGGAACTCGGAGAGCCGGCTGAGGACAATGCTGTGCTCTGAGGGCACCACGAGAAGGCTGGACAGATGGGGAGTCTGGTCAGCCTGCCCCTGGGGCCCTCACCCTAACGTGAGCTGGCCTCATGCTGTAGAGACCCAGGGCAGGGGCCCTCCCCAGATGTGGCTGCCAAAGCCAAAGGGTACTGGGCATGAGTAGAAGGGAGGTGATCAGCCACCGTGGAGCAGTCCTAAGCCTGAACCCCAGCTCTGCCCACCCCCGGCACATTTCGGGGTGGCACGAGCTCTCGCATTTGGGGCTCACTGCCCCTGCACAGGCTTCCTCACCGCAGTGCAGCCTCCATGCCCAGCAGGTGCCGGTAGATGAGTTGGGCCTCCAGGTCATGGTCGAGAGGGTCATTCCATTCCTGCAGGGTCACCCGTGACCGGGTCCTATCACAGCCCAGATCTGGGGGCGGAGAGAAGGTAGAGTTTCAGGCCGGCATTGTGAGTGCTCCTGTCCAACTTCCTGGCAGTTCAGATGGGAAAACTAGGCCTAGAGAGGGACAGGGACGGACTCAGGGGGCCCCAGGGCAGGCTGGGCTGGGAGCATAGTCTGGAAAGTCTGGCCCAGGGCCTACCCAGGGCTCCCCACACTCCCAGGGCAGTAGCTCCTCTCTCCGGTTCACTCCTGAGCCATGGGGTACCTGACTGCAGAGCGTGGGAGTTGCCCAGGGTGCCACTTAGGGAGCTGGACCACTTTCTAGAAGTGCCTGCCTGGAAGCAAGCAGAGAGCATCCTGGGAGGTGATATCATGGTGAGGGAACCAGCAGGGGGTTTGTGCCTTGGGATGAGCTGCCCGACCACTTGTTGGCCTAACCACCTTGGCAGAGGCATCTGCCCTCGCTACGCCTCGGTTTCCTCCTCCATAAAATGGGGCTCCCGGGCTCTGCCTCATAGTGCCCTGGGGAGCCCCACTTCACCGACGACCAGGTTATCACTGGGATGGGTATAGTCAGAGGCTGCAGGCGAGGCCAACCAGCAAGAGACACCCTTGCAAAGAGCTGCCTGTTTCCACCCTCTGTGCAACCTCAAGTCCAGGACTGGGCTTGTGCAGGTGGGTCAGGTTCCAATGGCCTCTAGCCATGCTAAAGTAAAGTTGTTTACATTTAATTAAAATTAAATAAAATTTAAAAGTACTTAAAATTCAGTTCGTTGGCTGCACTGACCACAGTTCAAGTGCTCAATAGCCACTTGTGCTTGAGGTAGATACACACCATTTCCGTCATCACAGACAATTCTAGTAGAAGCTCGTCGGTGCCATCCCTCTAGTGCCCAAGGCCCAGGGTCCCCCCGACCAGCTCCAGTGCCGGGCTGCCCGCTGTGGACAGATGCAGCCCAGCAGGGCCCAGGCCTTCACTCCCACCTGTCTTGTCCTTCTGGTGGCAGCAGCTCCACTTGTCCCCGCGGAAGACTCCAGGGTGGTAGGAGCCCAGCAGGCCAGTGTTGTTGATGCTCACCTTCCGCAGTGCAGACAGCCACTGGTTCAGCTCGTTCACACACTGCAGGGACCAGAAGTGGGGGGAAGGGGGCTGATCAGAGGCTGCCCCCTCCAGGCAGCCCTCCCCGCTGGAGCTCCTGTGCCACTCAGGACAACATGCTCCCCGCTAGCACACTCAGCAGCTTGGGGTGAATGAGGAAAGACTGCCTTCTCCCAGTGGGCCCAGCCCTCGCCCGGGCGCCTGGCTTGATGAACAGAGCATGGGCTGGATTTCAGCTGCCACTGGCCCCCATGGCCATGCACTTGGGTAGTCCACAACCTGACAACCATATGCGGTGGCCCTGTTGCCACCACTTTTCCCTGAGGCTCTGCACTCTGACCCAACAGGGACCCGTAGTGGGCGGGGCCCTAAGGGACAGGTCTGTGACCTCCTAACACCTGCAGGACTGTCACTCCCCGGGAAAGCCAGGCCCCTCCAGCTTCCTGCTTGTGTTCTCCCCCTAGTGCTCCTTCCTTCACCTGTCTCCTCTCAAATGCCAACCAGAGGCCCTCCTGACCACGCTTTATGAAGCAGCACCCCTCCCTGCCGCACCCCCTTGACCCTTCCCTATCTCTCTTAGTCTCCATTGGTTCCCTTCAAGGCACTATTTGCCACTTGCCATTGTAAATATTTATTCTTTATCAGCCTATCTTCTTCCCTGGAATATAAGGCCCATTAGGGCAAGGGCTCTGTTTTGTCTGCTGCCCTACGCCCACCACCTAGAACTGGAACCTAGCAGGTGCTCAATAAGAATGAATGGATGAGTTAATCCATCCATGAACAGAGAAGGGGATGTGAGAGCATGCACCCAGAGCCACACACATGCATAAACATGATTGTTATGTGTCAATATGCACATACACAGAAACACAGAGGCACCAACCAACTCAGATACTTGGAAGTACAGTTTCCCACAGATGTGTGCCCTGTGCAGCTGGACCTACATGGGGGTGCCTGGGCCGGCCCACGGAGAGACACACACTGCACTCACATCACATCTCACATACCTTGCTGTGCCTGATGTGGCTGGGAGATTCATTCATTCCAGACCACCCAGGGGCCACCCACAGCACCCTTCCCCCAGGGCACCCCCACCCCATGGCCACACCTTGCATTGCAGATAGGCGGTCTGAGGCCTGCCTGTGTCGTCCGTGTAGATGACCTGCATGACGTGTGAGCTGCCAAAGCTCTTCTCCTCCACCTTTTCTGCTGCCCGGATGTTGGCTAGCTTGATCAGGGCACTTTTCTGGGAAGGGGAGAGGGAGGGAGGCTCAGGGTCTTAGTTGAGGCCATTCCAGTTCCTATCTTTGGGCCTCAGTTTCCCCTTCTGCAGCACCAGGGGTTGGTGTGGGGGACCCAGAGTGCCTCTCTCTCCAGGAGCCTGCTCTGGGAGTGTCCTCAGCCAGGACAGAACGCAGACAGATGGGGCCCAAGTGCCCAGCCTCCCAGAGGCTCCCTGCAGTCCTGGGAGGTGTGAATTTTGGAACGTTTCTAGGCACCCAGCATTCCCCGGGGCTGGAAGGTAATGCCTGCCATGGGCCAGGCCATGTGCCTTTGCAGTTATTAATTTCCCAGCTCACCTTTATTTTCCCAAGCTCTAAGAGTCATATTCCACCTCTTAACACCCCTCCCACCATCACAGAATCTAATGAGATACAAATGGGGCAGAGAAAAGCTCTGGATGTGGAATATCCACTCCCTGAGACAACTCCAATCGGCTCAAGCTGAATCTATGCCACTAGTCCCAGACCCTGCTCTCCTTGCCTCTTGCATACCCTCCCATCAGAAATCACCAGGCCCCACATCACCCAAATGACCAGTCCCATGGTCCTTGGGGCAATGCCCACACTCCCAGCCTGGCGTCAAAGCCCACCACCCCCACTGGCTTCAGTGGCAAGCAGAGAGGGCAGTGCCATCCCTTGGAGGAGTGGGAAGACGTGGGGAGCCCTGGAGACACATGTCTGAGCTGTCTCAGGTTGGGGCCACCGAAAGAACAGAAGGGACAGCCCAGAGGATGTGGTGCCCAGGCCTGCTAGAGAGGAGGCGGAAGGAGGTAGTGGAGGGTGACACTGCACAGGGGGATACACAGGATTCGCCCACAGAAAGGCATCTCCAAGGAACAGAAAGGGCCCAGAGTAGGATGAGGGAGGGCCCTGTCAGGTAGCCAGGCTTTGCTGAGGCTACAGAAAATGTTGAGGGGAGCCAGGGCTGGGCAGTGCCCAGAGTAAAAAAAGCTAGAAAGTGGGAGGCCTAAGCTGAGGGGTCACCCCAGGGAGCTCCTTGACCCCCTCAAGTATTCCCGGGGTTGGATAAGGGGCTGGGTGGGGGACCCCCAGCCTGGCCAATCCCGGACCTGGTTAGCTGGGGGGGCAGCTAGCCAGCAGGGGTCTAACCGGCCCAACCAAGAACTGTTCCCAAACTCTTCAGGGGAAGAAATGTGCAAAGGGGCCCACCCCAGGGGCCACAGGTCTTCATGATCTCGCCCAGTCTTGCCAAACTGCGGCTCGACAAACTGCGGCTCATGAGCCACATGCAGCTCTTTGGCCCCTTGAGTGTGGCTCTTCCACAAAATACCACGTGCAGGCACGCACGTACAGTGCGATTGAAACTTCGTGGCCCATGCGCAGAAGTCGGTATTTTGTGGAAGGGCCAGTATTTTGTGGAAGAGCCACACTCAAGGGGCCAAAGAGCCGCATGTGGCTCATGAGCCGCAGTTTGTCGAGCCGCAGTTTGCCAACCACTGGTCTAGATCCTGCTTGGAGCCAGGAGAAAGATCATCTCATTTGATCCTTAGAAACTTGTTAAAGAGGGACCACTATCTCCAATTACAGCCAAGACACCAAGGCCCCGAGAGGCTGAGACACTTCCCCTAGGTACACAGGGCTGAAACCCAGGACTCCCCTCAGCCCCTCTCTGCTTCCCTGCTCTCCCACTGATGCACCTCTCAGCCTCCTACCCCACTGATGCACCAGACCAAGAAGCCAGAACTGGATACCATATCAGCTACCTGCCCCATTCCCCCTTCACCGAGGAGCTTCTTTCTCATGGGTCTCTCCCCACCCCCCAATATGTTTTTGATTTTAGAGAGAGGGGAAAGGAGAAGGATAGAGAGATAGAAACATCTCTGCCATTGATCGGCTGTCTCCTGCATGCCCCCTACTGGGGATCAAGCCCACAACCAGGGCCTGTGCCCTGACTGGGAATCGAATCAGCGACCTCTTGGTTCATGGGTTAATGCCACACCGGCTGGGCTCTCCTAGGTCTTAGGTGATTTTGTAGCTGCCATCAGAAGACTAGTCCTGCCTGGCTTTCTTCTCTGATCTTAGTGGACCCTGGGATGGGCTCTGAGGAAGAGACAGGTGCTCCAGGGTGATACAACCCCTCAGAGCCCCACGTGCCTGCCTCTCTCACCCACCTTAGAGCTAGGTGTCTTGGCAAAGCTGAGGGCCTCCGTAGTGAGGGAGAAGTAGAGCTTCTTGAAAGAGGAGGACATGAGGGGGCCCTTTCCCTTGGTCCTGTGGATGAAGAGTGGCCCCTCCTTCACTGGCGGCATCTGCAAGCTTAGCGCCCTCTGCAGGTCCAGTTCTGCCAGGCCGGGTACGAATGGCAAAAAGTGAGCTCAGTGGGGTGGGCAGCAACAACAGCAGGCTGTGGGTGGAGCTTCCAGAGGCACAGGCAGGGGCAGGGCCACGGGGGATGGGGCAGAGCAAACGTGATTAGCAGCTGTGGGTGCAGCCAGAGGCACAGAGGCAGATGGGGCCACAGGACTGGTGGCAGGTCAGATGCAAACAGGGTACTGTGGGTGGGGCCTCCAGAAGGGCTCACCTTCCTTCTCCTCGATGTCCACCAGCTTGGTGATGAAGTCCTTCAGCTGGGCCACGCCCTGGCGCACAGTGGGCTGCAGCGGCTCCATCCAAGCCTCCTTGGCCCTGGAAGCCGGCGTGTCCATGTTGCCCACATTCTGGATGGCCTGGAGGTGACAGCAGGGTCAGGGGCCAAACCACTGACACCCCACCCCACCCCCACCCCCAGTCTGTGCTACTCCCACAATAGAAATGAGGCAGAGTCAGCATAGGCTCTGCTCACAGGCCCACTCCCACCCCTCCGGGGATCCAGGGTAAACAGATCACTACGTTTGAGACATTTAGGGCCTGATAGTTGATACTACCTACGCCCAACCTACTGCCCTTCCTTTGCACGTCCTATATCAGACTCTGCCCCACGGGGTATGCCGGCCCAGCCCAGGGCTGGACAGATAGCCTGAGAGTAAGCAGACATGGGGTTGAAAGGCCCGGGATTCACCACCCACAGGCTGTGTGGCCCTGGGCAACCTCCTTCCCCTGCAGGCCTATTTCCTTACCCATGAGACTGGGTAACCGTGGAAAAGCTTTGTAAACTGTGCCCCGTGAGAGGATCAGCAGCCCAGGCACAAGGACTCCCTGGAGCCAGTTGGGAACACAGTGCATCTGGGCGAGGACCCCCGCTCAGCACCCAGCTGGGCACCCCGCCTGCAGCCTCACCTTGGCCAGCAGCAGCAGCGTGCGGCTGGTGCGGGCGTCCGCGTGCCGCTCCCGCAGGTGGAAGAGCTTGGGTGCCATGATGGCGGGAGAGACGAAGCGCAGGCACAGGAAGCTGGTGACGGCGATGAACGGCACGTTCTGGAGGGGTGCGGGAGAGGAAGAGCCGTGGGCTGGACTCCCCCAAGCCTGAGCTCCGGGAGCCCCTTTCCCTTCCGTGCTGTCTCTCCCCCTGCCCCTGCCCCTCTTCCTGCCCTTGGCTACTAACTCCACCACCGCCACCCCTGCCACCCCTCTCCACGGGGCCTTGGGGCCCCACTGCTCCCCGTTCCCTACCGCTTCTTCTCTCTCCCAGCCCTGCCTGCAGAGGGCGCACCTCGTGCTGGGCGCTGGGGAAGCGCTCCCGCACGCGCAGGAAGAGCTGGCGGAAGGTGGCGCGGACCACGGCTGGGCAGGCTCGAACGGAGCGACAGAGCGCACTCAGCAGCGCCCCCAGGTGGGCGCTCAGCGTCCTTGCGCTCTGCTGCAGCACCTCAGCCTCAGTCTGTGGGCGGTGCAGCCCAGAGCACCTGCGTGGGCCGAATGCGACCGTCAGAGAGGGTCGCAGTCAGCGTCTGCACACGTAACAGGCAGAGACTCCCAGAGATACAGGCGCAAAAAGGCCATCAGCGGAGATAGGGACACAGAGACAACACACGGGTGAGCAGGTAGATCCAGGCAAAAAGAGTCATACACATATACTTGCAGACACAGCTGACCTCCATCTCCAACCCCCTGCCCCCCCCCAAAAAAAACCCCCCCATCTCACCCTACATCCTTGACCTCCACTTTACTGGGGTCCAGCTCCACGTACTTCTTCTCCTCAAATACCCTGTCGATGATGGGGCCCAGGATGCTGTGCAGATACCGCATCCCAGCCACCTGGGGGCCACCGAGAGCAGCATTGGTCCCGTCTCCTGGCTATCACCCCGCCGCTGGCCTCCCAGCCACCCTGTGCACCATCTGCCTGTTGTATCCATTCAGGACTGGCCAGGCACATAAGGAATGCAGCTCAAACTGTTGCTACATGAATGAATGAATGAGAATGAATGAGTGAATCAGTGAAGGAAGGAACCACTAACAGAAGCCTTGAATTTAAGTTATGTCTCTTGGCCTCTCTGAACCTTAGTCTCCTCATCTATAAAACAAAAACAAGACACCATGCAACCTCACCTTCAGAAAAGACTCCATGGACTTTGTGGCCAGAGAGTTGCTCCGGAACAGGGTGTTTGCCTCATCTATAATTAGAAATTCCAGTGGGTAGAGGGCTGGCTGGGAGAGGAACAACGCTTTGGCGAAGAGGACCCTGGGGTTCTAAGAGGGCCCTTCAGTAAAGAGCCTCCTTGCCATGTCTCAACCCACTGCCTCACCTCTGCCTTTTGCTTTTTCCCTTGCTTCCTAACCTGACCCTTTTCCTCCTAATCAAGTCCATCTACCTCCTACAGGAGGACCTCCGAGATTTCTCCCATCCCAGCATCTCTAGAGTCCTTGGCTCCCTGCTCCACTCTCCACAACACCCTCAGACAGGCCACTCCCTCCGGGCCTCACTGGTGCGACTCAGCTCCAGCTGGAAGAGCAGGTCCAGAAAGCCTTTGGCTAGTCCCTGCCCCAGGAAGAGCTTGAGCAGGTTGGTGGCTACTTCCTGGCGGCACTCAGTGCTGGTCATCTCCTCGATGAGTGGGATCAGCTGTGCTGGGCCCTGCGGGAGGCAGCAAGGAGAGGCGGGGCTGCAGGGTGCACCAGGGAACCCAAACCCTTCAGTCTGAGGACCTCAGAGGGACACAGGGAGGGTGAGGGAGTTTTCCCAAGAGATGGCAAGGGCCCCTGGACACCAGCTAGTTCCTTACCATCCTGAGAACTGGCTCTTGATCCTCAGAGTGGGTTTAGATGGACAGGAAGGCCAGGCCTACCATCCCTGGACCCTCCCTCCTTCCCTAGGGGCCCCCTCACCTGGGTGCCCAGCTTCACCTCTCGGCACAGCAGCTGCACCAGGGGCTGGTAGCAGCCAGAGGGCAGCACCGTCTCGTCCCGCAGCCGCACCTCCAGCTGCAAGGAGCCCAGGTTGCCCCTGGAATGGGCAGCATGTGACCTCTCCACCAGGGACCCTGGGCCCCTCTGCCTCCATCTTCCCTGCTTGGGGCCAGCCTCCCAGTCTTTCTACTGACCCCTCCACCTCTGTTCCCCGCACGGCCCCACCTTCCATTCTTTGCCCAAGTGGTTTGCTCTGTTTGGAAAGCCCTTCCTGCCTCTATACTCATGGGAACTCCATCTGTCCTCAAGGCCTGGCTCCCTGCCACCTCTAGACGCCCGTGGACTCTGGCTTGACCCACAGGACTTGTTGGGCTCTCTGCTGTAAACTCCCAGAGAACAGTTCCTTCATGTACACACTTTACACCGGGAGCAAATCCCCAACCTGCACAACAACCTGCCAAGGGCCCTGAGGCTCCAGCAGGTGAGCAACTTGCCACTTAGATCTAACCTCCAAGCTCCCCTCCCACCGAGGGCACCGACCAGAGCTTAACAGTCTCTGAGGCCCCACTGCCCGCAGCACAGTTCACAGTGGGGCTGCTGGGCGCGGCCTCGCCTGCCGTAGGCGCCGGAAGACAGAGCTGCCTGGGCGCTGGGTACAGCCGTCCGCTCTGCCCTGCCCTATTGAGGGTGAGGATGGGGGTCTGGGGCCTTCAGCAGGGAGACAAGGCCGCACCATCCAAGGTGGGGGGCACTGCTGAGCTTCCGTTTCTGGGTTGAGGGGTGGGCAAGGAGCCCAGAGGGCTTCCTAGATAGGGCTGCCAGATTTAGCAAAATAAAAATACAAGACACTCAGTTAAATCTGAAAATTTAGTATAAGTTTGTTTCAAATATTTCATGGACATACTTACACTAAAAAATTATTCACTGCTTCTCTGAAGTTTGGTTCTAACTGGACATCTTGTATCATCTTGTATTTTAGCTGGCCACCTTATTCCCAGAGAATTTTGGGGCAAGTCAGAGCTCTGGTGCAGGGACACTGACTCCGGCTCTGAGGACCTGAACTCTAGTCTGAGGTCTGCAGAGAAACTTTTAAAGGGAAAGGGTCTGAGGGTTTGTTCCCGAAACTTCCAGACGGCAGAAAGCAGGAGACCTGTCCTGCCTCGGAGCTCAGAGGACTGAGGGAAGGATGGGGTGGGTACGAGCTGAAAGAAACCTGGGGCTGCATCACCTACCCGGCCCCGCCCACCTGCCTGCCTGCAGGAGCCCACGCTCAGCCGCCCCCAGGCCCAGAGCCCCCATCCCAGCCACCAAGTCCCAGAAACTCACTCTTCCCTCCGCCTCTTGGGCAGGTCGGGCTGCAGCTGGAACCAGCCCTCCTCCTGCTGGGCCGCCCACAGTCTCTGGACGTTGACCACAACCTGGGGGCAGGGCAGAGGTAGGGCGGGGCCACACTGGAGCCACACAAGTCTCTCTCGCCAACTACTGTACTTTCGGAGGGTCCCTGAGCACCAGGGAGAGTTGGGGACAGGTAGCTGCTGGTTCTGGGGTGTCCCAGGTCTCCCGAGGGCCCTCTCTGGGAGGTTGGAGGGATGGGTGGCTGGGAGGACAGGTGCTGAAGGTGGCAGGTACAGCCTGGAGGGGCAGGGTGCTCACCTTGCCCAGGAAGTCATTGCGGCTGACAAGGTCCCAGTCCCAGGCCTCCACGCACAGGGCCTCTGTGGCCCCCTCCTCCACCTCAAACTCGAATGTCTCGTTCCAGCGTGGGTAGCATGATTTCTTCACGATCTGCCCAGAAAGTAGGGGGCTGACTCCATGGGCATCCCAGACCCAGCCAAGGGCAGAGCCACCCCAAACAGCTCCCCTGGGTTCCCTGCAGGGACCCTTTCCCAGCAGGGTCCAGGCGGAGGCCCTGCAATAGCAGAGGTAAACACTTCCTGTCCAAGCCCCCACCCATTTCTCAAGTGGGGAAACCGAGGCCTGGAATTAGGCACTTGTCCAAGGCCACTCAACAAAAAAGTACGAGATTGCATGGAAAAGCCGGGTCTTCACATCCTCCCCCGCCGGGCTGAGCCCACCCTCTGGCGGTTCCCGGAGGTGAGGACGGCACTGGAGGCAGCTGTTGGCTTTGCCGCTTGTCTGGGTCCGGCCTGGCCAGGAGTGAAACACGGCGGAGGCCACAGGGGTTGGTGCCAGAAGGGCCGGGACCCGTTATGTGTCCTCAGAGAGGTCACCCTGCTTTTCTGAACCTCCTCTGTAAGAGGGCAGCCCTAGCCTCACCTCGCAGGTGATGGTGAGCAGGTGAGGCAGCAAGGGGCCTGGGTGAGGCCCTCAGCCTCCCTGCCCCCTCCCCAGCCCACAGGCCTCCTCACCGAGGTCTCCTGTGTCCGGCCATTGTAGCGCACACGGACAAAGGGGTCAGATGCACCATTCCGGTCCTTGGGGGCTAGGTCCCTGGGGAGGGGGGAGCGAAGCATCCACTGTCACTCAGCTGCCCCGGCTGTGGGGTGACCGCACCAGGCTGGGAAGGCCTGAGCTCACCCTGCCCCGGGCCAGCTGGGTGACTGTGAGCAGCACCCCTCCCTTTTCTGGACCCTGATTCCCACAGCGATCACCACACGGGCCCCCACACCAGGCTCAGGACCCCCCAGGTTGGAGCCACGGCTCCTGACTAGGCAGCTGCACCTACTGGGGCGAAGGAGGAGGCAGGGGCAGTAGTGAGGCAGCCAGGCCGTGGTCCCCCCACCTCTGTTCCCAGGGCAGCCCTGAGCAGGCGCTGCCCCTCTGAGCTGTGGTTTCCTCACCAATAAAAAGACAGGACAAACCCCGTAACTGAGGTATTGAGCTGGTAGAAGCCTTGCCCTACACACCCCGCCCTACATGAGGGGGTCTTGGTAAGCATCTCTATCGATCGTCCTCTCTCCATAGATGGTCCCTTCCAAAGGCCAAACCTGGCCCAGGCACCCCCCGCATGGCAACTTTGTGGAAGAACAATGCCCACCCCTCTCCTTTTGCTGTAAATATTATTTCCTGCTCTTTCCATAGTGAAGTGCGAGGCCTCTCATGCCTGCTTTTCTTTCTACATCAGAATCATCTACTGGAATTCCAGAGGTTGGTCTTGAGAATCTGCCCAGAAAGAGGAGGAGAAAAATGTTCTTTCTGCCTCTACGGCAAAGGCAGCCTCTTGTGCTGTCCCCAAATCCCAGCAGGGTCTGAGCTGAGCACACGGGTGATGAGTCCCCCACACTCTAAAGAGAGACCCGGACAGACCACTCCCCATCGGGGGACTTGCTGAGAGGAGGCCAGGCTGGCCCAGCCACCATGTCCTGGGCAGCGTGTGAGTGTGTGAGTGTGAGTGTGAGTGTGTGAGTGTGAGTGTGAGTGTGTGTGCGCGCGCCACAGAGAGCCTGGTGCCCGTGAGGCTGAGGAAGGAGGAAGTGTGAGAGGATGACTGAGCATGAGGGGCGGGACTGTGACTGCCCATCACCATCACTTTCCGTCTGGCTGTGCCTCTTCCACATTCCAGCCCAGGACAGAAAATAAAGCCAGGGAAGCCACAGTTCTCATTTCCAGGAGAGAGAGATCTTCCTCCCAGAGAGGCCCACCGCTCCGCAGTGGGGGGGCTCCCATAGGCCGGGGCTGCCCTCCTGCCCAGAGGCAGGCAAGGACCCGGTGGAGGTGGGCTGGAGCCAGAAAGGAAGGCGATTCTCCTGGAGTGTGACTCACACTCACGCTGCAGCTAAAAATACGCAGGGTGGGGGATTCCCTGTCACAGGTGACTCAGGCCCACCTTCCCCTTCTGAGCATAATCCCCCACTTCCCATTGGAGATTTTCAGCAACCTCTTTCACACACACACACACACACACACACACACCTGCCAACCACCACACCAAGCACCTCCTATTGATGTTAAATCCAGGGGAAGGCCAGTCTTGGCACTGGGGCTGTATGATCATGGTTCAGGGTAGCCCCTCACCCCACAACTGGTCTATGATGCCCGAAGTTCCACCATTAGAACATCACCTCTTCCCCTCAGAGTCATGCCCTCCTGAGTGGGGTCATCCCAGAACCTCTCCCGCCAGCCTGAGAGCAGGCTCCTCCCCGGGAGGAGGCCCGGGGCCGGGAGGTGGGTGGGGAGAGGAAGCCAGCATCCACAGTGGGTTTCTCTAGTTTCTTGGGGCCCACGCCCTGCTCCCCACCCGCCACATCTCACCTGGCCTCCAGCACGGAGCAGCGCAGCCGGCCGGCACGGGCCCCCGGCACCAGCTCCAGCCGCAGGTGGATCTCGCCCTGCACCTCCTCATCAGGGTCGACCTCCGTCAGGTGGGCCCATCCACTGAAACCTGTGAGGCTGCAGGTGAGCCAGCGTCCTGGCTCTTTCCATCCCACGCCCTTCACCCTCCAGGCACCACGTGCCCCCTCCTTAGTCCTCTCAGAATCCTCTCAAGCTCCTGTGAGGCAGGGGCTGTTGTCCCCAGTGATGGATGGGGAAACTGAGGCTCAGACCTGTGACCCCTGTATCCTCACTATTGTGTCAGGGTGGCCCTGACCCCAAGTCATCATGGCACTGCCCTGTGTCCTCAGTTTCCCCATCTTAAAACGGGGAGAATGGCTCTTGCCCAGGGATGCTGGAAGGAGAGCCCAGAAGGGGAAGCGACCAGAGAATCGCATCGTTGGGGCCACTGAACCCCGAGGGGCTGGCTGGGGCCTCCGGCAGGAGAGGCCTCTGGCCTGCAGGGGCCAAGAGGCTCCATGAGTCAGCAGATTCCCCCCCACCGCCCGCCCTCGCCCCCACATGCGGGCCCCAACCACACAGACAGGAGCAGGTGTGCCTGGGAGGCCCCTGAGAGTTAGTTGCAGGGGCTCGGGCTGGCAAAGCCGAAGCATCTAAGAGCTTCTGGTCTGAACCCTCATGGGCAGATGGGGACTCAGCCCAGAGAAGGCAACCCCTGCCGCAGGGCGCACAGCAAGGCTGAGACAGGGCTGACCCCCAAAGCAGCGCCAGCATCCTAGGAACCATCCAAGGGGTCTCCAGCCGAGCCCAGCTTGAGGCCAACGGCTCAGGCTTGGGACAGAGAGGCCTGGGGCCAGGCTGAGAGGACCTCAGCGGGTGCAGAGGAGCCAGCTGCACTGGGTGGGCCCCTGCATCTCAGCAGTGAAGCTTAAGGAGGCCCCTTGCGCTGCCGGCAGAAGCCTCAGATCCCACCACGAGCAGCCCTTTTGCTCTGGGGGATGCGGTCCAACCTGGAGGCAGAATGGGGCCCAGGGCACACAGGTGGGTGTACAGGCCTTTCTGGGGAGGGTAGACATGGCTTTCCCTGAGCATCGGGCCTGAAGGAGCCTAGAGCAAGGGTCTCTGAGTAGGGGAAAGGCTGGGACTGGGGAGACCAGTAAGGAGAGAGAGGGGGAAGGCCAGAGGCGGGGAGCAGGAGTGGGCTGTGGGCTCCCTCCTGGGGAACTTACCTTTCGGGTGAGCAGCCAGGGTGTCCTTGGTAAGGCAAACCTTCCCGATAACATCATCCCGGCTGGAGGATGGAGAGGGAGCCAGAGCTGGGCAGTGCTCTGCGGGGAGCCCAGAACCCTCCTCCCACCCAGTTTAGGGCCCCTGTGAGGAACAGGGAGGTCACTTCAGGGGCCTCTCCGAGTAGGACCCATGACCTTTCTGCACATGGACCAACCGTGTGCCCACGTAGATGCCAAGATGCTCTCTGGGTGCCCATTTCCTACCTCACATCCTTACACTCGCATAGCGCACCTATGCCTGTATTCCTACACTTGCACACATATGACATGGCACAAGCACGGTGAATCCACACAGCACACACCCTCACACCCTTCGAGACCCCTCTGGGCGCCCCCTCCCTCCAGGCTATAGAGGATGCAGAGTGACCAGCAGTCCCCGCAGTGAGACGGGGCCAGGGAGGGGCAGGTGGTGGGGTCCAGGCCCCAGCTGAAGAGCGGGGCCCACGTTACCTGAGGGCATCCTCGTCCATGACATAGAAGGCCACCGCATGGAAGGTGGGCGGCAGGTGCACCTGGTACTCCTCACCCCAGAAGGGGCACAGGGTTTTCCACACGGTGGCTGTCCTACAGGAGAGGACCCTCAGACCTGCCCAGCCACCTGCAGGCCCCAGGCTGAGGCAAGGCGGGGCTGGGTGACTGAGCCCACCTTTCCCCACATCCCCTTCCATTCCCAGCAACAACTGCCCTGCTGTTTGATGACATCCCAGGCCCCCTGCCCACCATCAGTCACTCCCTCCTGGCCTCCCTCTCTGCCGGGGTGGGCACAGGGCCGCCTCTGTCAGGCCACTTTACATTTGGGGAAACTGAGGACACAGTTGGCAACACTCAGGTCACACAGCAGGACTCCCTGGCTCCTGATGCTGAACGGACTTGCTGGCTGGAGGCCGGGTGATGGCCAAGCTGACTCTGGAGCCAGACCGTCCTCCTGGGGAGTCTGGGAGCCACGGTCCAGGGCCTCACCCAACTCTGGCCAAACCCCCCCGGATCAGAGCCTTCAACACATGGGACTCAGCAGGGATGTGCCTGGGGGAAGCCGAAGCCGCCAAGGACCCAGGTTAAGGCTCAGGGAGCCACCCAACCACGTCTCAGAGAGGTCACTGAACTCTGGGACTCAGTTTCCCTGCCTGTCACGGAGACAATCGGGGCCATCACGCCCTCTCTTCACTTGCTGTCTGTGGTTGGGAGAGAGTCTGGAAAAAAGATGGGCCCTGCTCGCTGGGGGACGAACTGTGAGTCAGGCACCTTGGCCAGCAGTCAGCCTCGGGCACTCCGCTGGACGGAACCGCAGAGCAGCTCTGGCCATGAAGTCTGAGGCAGAGGCTTGGGTGAGGGAGGGGACTGGACAGCAGAGGCCCTGCCCAGAATCATGAAGCCCGTGGAGAAAGGGAGGCCCAGGGGAATTGGGCCTTTTGGGTGCAGACTGGGGACCCCCAGCCTGGAGGGGAGCAGTTCTTCTGGGGAATAACCACTGTGGGGCTCTCTAGGGGAGAGGGGTCCCCAGGTCAGAGCAAGGGCCAGGGAGGGGAGAAGGACCTCAGGCTTTGGGGTGAGATTTTAGGCAAGTTACTTAGTCTCTCAAAGCCTCGGGGGTTTTTTTATCCATAAATGGGGTTTAATGGTATCAGATGTAGCTCATCGTAAATATTAAATGGGCTAAACTCATTTAGTATGGCGGAGACAGCACTCCCATAAGTGACCGTCTTGTGTGTCACTCCTGGGGGCTGTAAAGACTACAGACCCATCGGTGAGAGGGGCCTATGGCCGAGTGCCTGGCCCGCAGCAGATGCTGGTGCCACGGTCAGTAATTAGCAAGAGGATCTTTCCCACCTCCTAGTAGGTGTGTCAGGGTGCGGTGGGGGCCCAGGAGATTAGGTGCCCCTCGCCACACAATTCCACACCCCTCTGAGGTCTGTGTGTGAAATGGGCTGGGGCTGGGGCTGGGGGTGTACCTGATGATGGGCTCATTGTCCACCTTCACGATGCAGTAGGGGTCGCTGCTGCCGTTGCTGTAAGACAAACAGGCGAGTGGAGGGGCTGGCAGGTGATGCTGCAAGTGGGGTCAAGGGCAGGGCCTCCCAGGCAGCTCCCATCCCTCTGCCAGGAGCCCTCAGTGACCCCGAAAATGACAGTCAAGGCTGAGGCACTGGGTCCTGGGCTGGGGGTGGTTAGGGAAGGCAGGAACCTGCACCAAGGCTCTCGCCCCACCCCTGCCCCACCTCAGGGAAGACAGAAACACCAGGCCAGTGCCGTCCTGTGCACGGAAGGGTAAGGGTCGTTGGTTCAACAGTCACAAGTCACAACAGCCCCGGGCCAGCTCCCTGACACCCCTACCCTCAACACCACAGGCACCCCTGTCACCTCTCCTCTGAGCCTTTGCTCTTGTTCCCCTGCCTGGACTGCCCTCCCATCCTCCCAGCCTCAGCCCCTCCTCTAAGAGCCCTCTCTGTCCCAGGGGCAGGAAGTAAGGTCTCCCCTGTGACCCCACTGCCGGCCGCTCCTCAGTAGGTTTCCCTCCATCCCAGGAAGCTGTGATGTCCCATCAGGTGCTTCCCCCACCTGAGTGACCTGAGGGTAGGGACCATTCTGTGTCCCCAGGGCCCAGGACAAGGCTTGCCATAAGACAGGGCCCTGTGAGTGTTTGCTGAATGAGTGAACAAATACAACCATCTGTCCTCAAGCTCCCAGCCACCTGGGAGCAAAGGGCCAGGAAGGCAAACCTGGGACTGCCCAGTCCCGTCTGTCTCATTGGCAGGGGATTCATGGGGTTGAGGGCAGCCCCAGCCAGGTCCAGGGCTGGTACTGGGCGAGAAGGGGGGTGAAGACTGTCTCCAGAAATGCCCTTCAGGCCTGGCATCCATACAACAGAAGTGTTGGAGCGCCGTCCTGTGCACAGAAGGGTCGTTGGTTCAGTTCCCGGTCAGGGCACATAACCCGGGTGGTGGGTTGGATCTCCTGATCAGGGCCAGTACGTGAGGCAACTGATCGATGTTTCTCTCTCACATCAATGTTTCTCTCTCCCTCTCCCTTCCTCTCTCTCTAAAATCAATAAAAACAAATCCTCAGGTGAGGATTTTAAAAATAATAATTTTTAAAAAGGAAAGGAAGTGTATTTTCGTGTTGTAGGCTGGGGAATTCCAAGCCCTGCTTCCCTTTTCAAAGAGGCTCTTCTTTTGAGGAAACCACTCGACACAAACGTATCCAAAGGCTCTCAGACGCCAACAGAAACTGTCTGCCAAGACTCAGCTTCCCCCAGCTCCCTGGTAGTTGCCCTGGGTCCCCGACACAGGTGAGGGCCAGGCCATGGGAGGTGTTTAGTCAAAGTTAGCCCCGCCCTAGACTCCTCGCTCCTCTACCCGCAACCCCCACCCCCAGCATTTAAGAGCCCACTCCCCCAGCCCCTTGGGAACACCCCAGGTTGCATCCCGCCACACCAAGGCGAGGGGACCCCAGGCCTTACATAACAGGTCCCCGTGTTCCCCAAATGCTGGACTGGGCAGCAGGGCCCAGGAGCTGCACAAGTGTTTGGACAAGAAGCTTGGAGAAACCAGGGACAGGTCAGTGTGGGCTGAGACCTCTGTGGCTGCCCCCCACCTCAGGTCCCTCTCTGCCCTGCTTCTGCCTCCTGCCCTGGGGTTTCCTGGGGGCAGGGAACCTCTTGTGTACCCCTGCGAGCCCAGCACTACCCTCTGCTCAGCTCTCACTCAATGGATGAACCGTGAACACACAGTGAGGTTTGGGGCTCATGTTGTAGTCGGGGCCACGGAGGTGGGCAGAGACCCAGAGGCAGGAACAGACCCTGTGTGCAGGGACAGCGTTGGGACCCGTGCCCTGCCTAGTGGCCTCTGCTCTGATGAGGCCCCTGGGATCCACGACTTCTCCTTCCCCAAGCCACTTGCCGGCTCTGGCCCAGCCTGGCTACTTGCAGGGCCTCTATATTTAGGGCCTTGGCAGTTTCCAGGCTGTGGAAGAGGAAGGATCAGGGCAAACCCTGAAATAGCCCCGGGCCTGTCCCCAGGGTCACTGGGCGTGGGAGCCAGTGGGTCACCGGTCACCATGAGACTCAGCTCCTGTCTGTCTGACCCAGGCACCCAAGGATGGGAGACAGCGGGAGGGAGCATGGCAGAAACAGGCAGGCTCTGAGAGGAACCTTAAGAGAACTAAACACCCATGAGTGAAGTGGCAGGGGGGCAGGTAGCAGCTCTGTCCGCAGGGCTTCCCTCCTCAGAACTGTCTCAGGGAAGATGGCCACTACGATAGGCGGTGAGCTCCTTGTCCTCAGAAACGTGTAAGCCCTGGCTGGAAGGGGGGCTGCTCAGGAGGCAGGCCGGAGGCTGATGAGGCGCGCAGTGAGGTAGGCTCGCCACCCGCCTGCCCCAGCATTCAGGGAGGGCTTCCTGTGATTGCCAAGCGCCTGCCATCCTGGAGCATGGCATTCGTGAGGCTCTCCCCACTGAGCCCACAGCAAGCTTGTGACGTTCGTCCTGCTAGGACTCACAGCCTGTGAGCCGCAGAGTGGGCTTGAATCTTGGCTTCTCTACCTACCGACGTGGCCTTGGCAAACGACTTCCACATCCTGAGCCTCAGTTTCCCCGTCTTCAAACTGGGCACATTATAGGACCTCAACACCTCTTATTGCCCTCCACTTGGGACCAGGTGTCCCTCAGGCTACCCAGAATGTCAGGTCAAATGAGTCATGGTTCCTATCCTCACAGTCACGTGACACATGCAACCCAGGAAAGAGCAATTGCTAGCAAGGGCTCTGCCCTAACTCCAGATGACCCGAAGTCCTGAAGGGTGCAGGACAGGGACGGTGAAGCCTGCACCAGGGCACCAGTAAAAGCCCTTGAGAAAGCTGAGAGGTGTCCTGAAGGATGAATAGGAGTTTTCTGGAGGACTCTGAAGGGGAGTGCTTGAAAGCAGAAGGCCCCAAATACATGCAGAAGCAGGGCTGTGAAGGGCAGTAGCCCAAAGGTGAGCGGCTGGGGGAGGGGGTCACAGCTGGGTTTAAAAGATAGTTGACAGGGTAGAATGGTGTACACCAACCACTATAGGAAAGGCTGAGGAAAGGAGGGGAGGGGAGGTGAGTAGGGCAGGAAGGGGGGCAAGGCAAGGCAAAGGCAGAACCCACAGGATTCGGTGGCCCCACCCCTGGGAATGAAGGCACCTTGCCCAGAGCCCCTCAGCTGTGCAGAGGCAGGGCTGTGCAGGAAACCGGGCACCTTGGCTCCCTGGCAAGCGCTTCGGGGATGGGGAGGGAGGCAACAGACAGAGGGGCCGCTCCTCCCAGCTGCTCCTCCCAGCTGCCACCAGCCAGAGGAGGCCAAGCTGACCTAGTTACTGGTGCCAGTGTGGGGGGTGCTTAGTGGCTGGGTCTGGAGGCTGAGACCCTTCTCAGAGAACATCTGCCGTCTGACCCCAGAAACCACAATCCCAGCCCCCACCCCACCTCCCCCACAAACAGAAACCCACTTTGAGATGGTCCCCCACTACCCTCCCTCACCCATTGCCATGGCAACTGCTGAGCCTGGCCTCATCAGGCCCAGGAGGCCTTGAACTGGAACTGCTCCTGGCGCTGAGTGTACTGGGAAACTCTTATGGGCCACTGTCCGTGCCAGAGAGATGCCCTGGCCCCTTCCTCCGATACTGCCCCCCCCCCCGCCCCTCCCCATCCTGCCACCTGGCTGCATCCAGGAGCCAGATGAAGAGCCTGGGTGTGGGGAGGCTCCAGCCCAGCAGACTTTGGACCCTACGCTGCATTGGGGCTCCCTCTCCTCCGCCCCCTCCTCCAGAGCCCCCAAGCTTTGTGCTCTCTACAGCTTGTATCTCTGAGGCTTCGGGGACAGGAAGCAGCCTAAGGCTGCTTACAAAGGAGCCAGGGATCGAATGGGGCAGCTCAACTCTGGAACCTACTGAGAAAGATAGGACAAGGGGCTCCTGAAATCTCCTCAGACCTGGCCAGGGACCGGGAAAGCCCTAGGTGCCTGCGCCTGGCAGGGGCCCCAGACCCAAGACCCTGCTCTGCGCTTGGAGCCAGCGTTTCCTGTCTCGGAGCCTCGTTTCCTCGTCTGTAAATGTTATGATGAGGACTGCCTTGCCGGGTGCTTGTGCGGATTAGAGGTGACGGCCCAAGTAAAGCATAGGGCACCAGCAACAGCGACTCCCCAGCCACTCCATCTTGCAAGGGTCCTGGCCTCCTGCCCTACCTGTCACCTCTCCAAGCCAGCACCTCCCATCCCAAGTGCACAGCAGGGAGCCCCTGGGTCCCAGGAGCGTCTCAGATGCACACTCCCAGGTACTACGTGTTCAGAAACTACCAAGGAAAACTCATTTCTAGGGGGCACTTTCATCCCCTCCGACCACACCCCCGGCAGTTGACCAAGACCTTGGTAGTCCACCGAAATGCCCCCACCCCCCACCCCCGGGATGTCGCCCCAGCTCCTGTCCTATCAAAGCCCCTTCCCCTCTAGAGCCGTTTGCCCCCCGGTTCACTGAGGCCCCTTACAGACCCCGCCCCCCCTCAACCCCCGTCCGTCCCTGCCACCCCCAGAAGACCGCTCCACGAATCCTCACTGTTCCCATCTCCGCGGCAGGGTCATGCTAAGAGGCGCTCCCGCTTGACACAACCTCACCGTTGCTCTATTTGTGGAACGAACTTGTGGATCTCGGCAAAACTGGATAAAGAGCAATCTCTCCTGCGGAAAGCGGGGGTTT